ACATAAATTTTATCGAATAACTATAGGTATAATACAAAATTCTTTGAAATATATCATGGTCTCCCAAACAGTTAGGTACCCCATTTCTGTTATAGGTGGCAATTTGGATAAATATATTTAATTTATGTGGACGATCATGTATATCATATAAAATCCTTTTACAACCTAATATACCATTACAGTGAACACCACAAAATAGATTTGAACGATAGTTCAACTTAATGTTTCGGAGAGCAGATTTTCACAGATCCACTCTAAACAAACCTCGATAAAAAAAAGTACATAATATTTGTAAATGTATTGTAAATCTATCGTAATCCATTAAATCTACGTTTTGAACAACGCGAATATAGCTCCAGGAATAAACATTGTATTTCAAAACGATTTATAGGAAAAAGAGTATAAAACGAAATATGTCCCATACTGAAGACACGTAATTTCAAACATATATTGTTTTTTGCAAGATATAAAATATGATTTAGATTAGGCCAGACATGATAAACGAATTATAACATTAAAAATAGCACGGGCCAGTACATAATATATATTATGAACAATTTTATAAAATAGGAAAATCTATCTACTATAGTGACTTATAAATGACAAAGATAAAATAAGTCCAAATTCAAAATAATATTTTGCCTACTTAACGAATCACATTTGTAATGCGTTTGGAGTAAATCTTATGAAATGTATATTTACAAAAATTCCGAAAACACATCGTCCATAAATCAACGTACAATTTATTGCGTTTTCACACTAAGTACATCCATTGACCCGCGCTTGATCGGATATTACGATTTCTAGTTATAAATTGTAACATAATATTGCACGAGTTATTATACTTGCGGGGGGAACTATTATTTTTCTTCTCGCAGTAACAGAGAGAAATCTGGACATCACTCGTAATCATCGACCCGTCCGATATTCGGCTAAACGAATTGTTGTCCTGGGATAATGCCTGCGGATCAAACGTGACCGGGGTTCATTACCGACCACGGCTGTAATCATGGAAACCGATTGGGTACAAATTCAATAGGATTTTCAATGTAGGAAAACGATCGCCGGGAGCCGCAGAGTGTATTTACGTCCAATGCATAGTATTGTGCGTGGACGATCGGATGGTTTTTGATCATATGCGTTGTATGCTACAAGCGATCACCGAAAATGTGTTTAATCGCACTGGGAGAGACGTGTCACGATAGAGCTCCTATTGCGGAAGAACGAACTTAACTAGGTTTATATCACAGTATTTTATTATTAAATGTGTATGGTATACCTATACATTTTGGCTTGTTCGTCGCGCGATATTACAATATACCCGCACGGCGAAAACTTTTATTTTTATATTCGTTCGTGGCAGATTTTTTCCCAGATGTTTTTTTCTCGTTTCTGTTAACGCGGTCAACGCATGGTATTCCCATGGTGGTGGAAAAAAATAAATAAAATAAAAGTAGCAAGTTTAAGTATATATCCTGTACGAGTATATATATGTGGCTGAGAAACTTTTTCAGACATATTTTTATCCATCCGCCGCCGCCGCCGTAATCTTTAACTTTTTACTTTCATCTCTCTTGGAAATCACGGGCACAGGAAATATTTATTTTATTCCTTTCCTTACCGACGCTACATTTTGTCTTATTTACTCTGCAAACGACGAGTTTCCTCGGAGCAAACACCAAACATACGAAAAAGGGAAATAAAAATAGGTAAGTAGGTACCAATATTTACACCTTACAGCTATGCGCGACAAATTGACAAAAAGAAATTCCTCGAAAATAACCAAACACTTTTCATTAGTGTTTATAATATAGCACCGGCGTATAGAACACAATATAATCAAACCTATCAGTTTACGTGTGATTCAATATTTTATTTTTGTTTCATGTGCTCAAATAACGGTGTTGGTAAAAAGCAACAAAAACGTCAACAGGCGATAATCGAAGATAAATTGTCGTTAGGTGCGCACAAAAAATACCCCTTCAGAGCTCCCTTTGTAAATAAATATATAAAATTATGACCTAAAAAATCTCTAGTGTTTTGATTGATTGTCTTCCTCACGATGTCCCAAAGAAAGCAAAACCTCTTGTATTCGAAAAAGATCGTTAGAATAAAAATATAAAGTTCGTATCGATAAAACTAGCCTTCTCTGTCTTGAAGTCGTAACTCGACCGAAAAAAATAAATAAAGTAAAAAATACACTAGAAAGAAACCTTTTTCTTATTTTATTTTCCTACCGGTCTCGTCCTATATAGATAACTGGTAACGACCATTAATATTCATTAGACGAAACTTTTCGCTACTGCCACTCTATGTGTACGACGCCTACGGGCAACCAGAAAATATTGAGTTTTTTCATACTCAATACCTAATGTATATATATTATACTGAAAGACTTGTGATAAAAATAAATCAGACAAGCAGATAGCAAAGCAAACTGAAATATTTTCATTCTAGGGGACAAAATTGAGTAGCAAAAAGCCTATGTCACATCATATTTGAGAAACTTGAGATAAAATAGTATTTAAGCTGCGGCGCACTCATATCGAATAGCGTATCAAAATAGAAAAACATGAAAAAAACTGTAAGTAAAAAAATTATTTTTAGTTTTATTTCTGTAATTAAGTAATTGTTTTAAGCTGATTTAAAATGTATAATTTAGTCTTGTTAAATATGCATTAACTATACAAACACGCGTCATAAAATCTGTTTAAAATATTTGGTTATCTCTGATTGCCATTCACAGTAAAGTTTTCCTTTGATGTCACTCACTCACTCACATACACATTTCAAGGGTTACAAAAGTCGCGAATTGAACAAAGCAAATATTAACAAAAGGATAGAAATGGATTCCCTTTACATTACATGCTACATTTTTCGTTGCGTGACAACGGTATGAGTCAAATATATCATGTTTATGCTATATTATGTATATTATAATATTTTGATATTAAATTATTCATTGCATATCTACTATCAATAATGCTCAAGAACAGTGTGTTACTTTCAAAAAATATTTAGAACCCGAAACACAATCATGATAACTTTTTTTCATTTAATATTTTTTTAAAAATAGAAAATCAAGAAAAAATCACCGCATCATTGTCTAGGTACATTTAAAAAATCTATCACAAACAACCTTATATAAGAATGTCTGGAGATGTACCTATGGAGTTATAATATTGTACGTTACTAGGTATTATATACTTTAAACATAATGAACAGAAAAAGTTCAATTGAAATGTCATAATATAAATTCTGGGTAGAACTCAATGTCTCAATATGAATGAGTTATTCAAGCAATAGTATAAAAATCAAAAATAATTGACTGCTGACGAATTAAATTTCAAATTTATTAATGTGATGATGTATTATATTATAATATACTACGTATGTATTATTGTTTATTATTAAATACTTTAACATGCGACACATTTCGCGGGAAAATATTGTATCTGTCGTATCTACCCACGTCAAGTAATTTAATGTATATAGGACAGTCATATATCTTTAATTTTAATTTTGTATAAAATGTCATTGCACATAATACAATATAAATACACACATTCGCATTTCGCAGTCATAAAGAAACTTGGAGTGACGTTTACTTTATGTAGTTTTACATATTGCTAAGACAGCAGTTCTAGACTGCTATAGTTTATGGGTTTATAGGTACATTTTTTTTTTTGTCACTCCATTAGATTTAATTCTCATTTTTAATTTACTCTATTATTTATATAACATAGCCGAGTGGAAAAATCTAACCGTACAACTTTTAATCCATCTTTAACTCAATGTATGAAAACAAATTGAAACGTCACACGCAAGTTCCAATTAACGAGTTCCTCGGGCACTAGTGGTCAGAGTTCAAAACAAGGGATTCTGACCCTCTCGTTTATTAAATCCATACCAAGAGCACAAAGCTCTGGGTTTCATTTTGTTCACACCAATCCTTTCTAACCGCCAATAACTTACTTTATAATATGTACGTTTAACATGTATATATATAATATATTTCAGGCAAGCTGGAGAAGGGATAAGTTAAGTTAGAATACCTATACATACGCATATAATAATATATACCAACGGGATATTATACATTTTCCTATCAAAATAAAGTAACAAAATATATATTTTAAGAAAAATAACGAAGCATTGACTATACCAATATTTCTTTTTTTTTAGCTTAACTTAACCAAAAGAAAAAAATATTCATTTCTATTTTGGAGAAATTCTTTATACGTATATTTGCATAACACAGTTGTAAAATACATAATACATATTTTAATAAAATGTATAAAGTGAAGGTAAAATATATTTTAAAACGTGTAAGAAAAAATGTTCGCTAATTTATTTTCGCATACCACACGGATAATGTATACTTTAAGCGTAGTAATTTCCATGTAAAGTACTAAAAAGGAAAAAAAAACGTTTTAAGCTGCTGGGAGACTGAACCACCTGAGCTTTTATCGACGTATCGGAAGTATCTTGAGGGTCTTTAAATGGTGGCCTGAAGGTGTACTTTTGTCGCGTGTTAGAACGACGACAATAAAAGAAGAGGGTAGGTGAAATGAACATATCTGCAGGAGGGTGCAAAATTGTTTTTGTCCCCTATAGCTATTCCATCGGAAGTAGAAGGATTTATGCTAGAATGGAAACAATTTCGTATAGGTGTCGCCTATTTTCAAAAAAGAATTCCCCAAAAACGCCGTAAACTCAAAGTTTACAGTGTATACCCATAATACAGAGCATAAACTGCACCGAATCTTTCATAGAATAAGGAAAACAGCCATTTAGCGGACAATATTCGCAGAAGAAATTGCCACCATAAACATTTTGTCACGTCCAACAGTCAACATATAATAACGCGTATAGTGTAACCCCAAAATACGCGTTGTTGTATTATGAAGAAAAAAATACCCCTCTGTACGCGTTTCGCGTGCAAACGGGGCGTGAGAAATATTGTGTAACGCGCGTTGTTGTTTAAAAACGGCTCTCACCTGGCGTTCTGTGGTCCGACATTTCCAATTTCGAAAGAAGAACTAGCGGTTAAATCGTCGTCTTTTATCAATCCGGACTCCATGCCGAGTGCCGACATGCATTGAGCTGAAAAAAAAAAAACAAGAATATTATAATAATAATTTTAATAATAAATGTACAAACGATGACCTCATGAACGCATAATTCAATACATGGTAGGGGGAAAGAACCCTGCTGATAGCAGATCGGGTTTCACGGTTCCGGTCGTGTTGGTGTTCGCATAATAAACCCATCGCTATACACGTTAAAATATTTCAGTAGACTTATAAAATATTAAAAATACATCGTGACACCATAATATTATTATGATATAATATTACCCGATGGTCGTGGACATCTTAACGCTGTACCTACCTACAACAATTATTATATCCTATGACATACAAATGAATTATAACATGATATAATATTAATGCACCTATAATTTGGAATTGGAAAGGAATTTTCGTTGATGAAACCACCATTGTACAAGCGGGAGTGGGCGTGAGAAGCAAATGAAAATACAGAATACACAATTTTTCTTGTGCATTTTATATTATCATTATGATTCAATGTTGTCGTACACGTCTTTTCTATGAGTGTTTACAGTCAACGTACTATTATATATGTATATACCTAATATATGGGTTATGCGTAGAGTAGCAGCTTAAATGATAAACGCGCGAACAATTTCCCGGAAAATCGTTATGGAAGACAGCACTGCTGCAGCAAAGGTCTGTCGTCGTCTTCTGCACACCATGGGTATGAACAAAATAAAAAAATAAAATAAAACAATAAACCGACGCAAACTGCAGCCGGGATTACGGGTGAGCAAAATCGTGGCACGTGTGAAATATTTCCACGGAGATTTGCACGGTAGACGATATTATTATTATAATATTTGTCACGGCCGAATGATAAATTCGCCAAATATATACAATACCTATACATATATATACGTGCGATAGAGCCGGGTGTCTCGTCGTCCGACCCCGCCTGTTCATATAAGCAGAATGGTTCGTCCGACGGAAATATGGATTTGAAAGTTTACTATACGCACGTAGGTACCTACCTACTATTATTTTTATTATAAATACAAAGATTTTTCTAGAATAAATGAATATAAATTGATTTCGGGCGCGGCGGACAATACGAGTCCGCAAATAATAATATTGTCTGTTCTGTGTAAAGAGCTTTATGTTATAAGGTCAAATCATTCTTTCAAATTAATGAATAGCGATAACACGTAAATCATGACCACTGTCACCGTTAAATGCAACGCAACTCGGTGCGTAATTTGGGGGGGGGGGGGCAGGTGGGCATTTGCTCCTGTCTGTTTTTAAAAGCAGCCGATGGGACGGTGCCCGGTTGTTTTCGTTTAACCATTATTATATTTTATTAGAGCAAAAACATTATGCCTATTTTTTATTATGTTTTGACAAAATATTATATTGTGTACTGATAGATTATTGTCACAATGATAAATTGATAATTACTAATTAATAGTTGAATAGTTTGAATTTATTCATATTTAGACGCATGTGGGGACAAACATTTAAGTAGTTAGGTATGCATCTATATGTCATATTATGTGCATGTGTGTGATTTCTGAAGAAAAAGGAACATAATATTATTATGTGGTTGCAAGCGAAGCGATCGGTTTTTTTAACCTACCCATTTGTGCCGGTCAAAACTTTTGCCCCCTCTATCAAAAATTGAAATTACGCCACTGACGCAACTTACGCATATAGGTCAAGGTAAACGATTAATTTCAAGAAAATAGAATACCTACCGATTGGTCAACTCTGCACTCTATACATTATATTATAATATATATTACTTAGAGCCCACGATTACTAATCACGTACATCTTGCCCTATTCGTATAAGCTCACATGTTCTTACTGCTACCCAAGATACTAATGTAATGGTTGGTGAATACTTAAATCGGGTAGCGATACATGTCATGTACTTCTAAAATATTTTGTTAGAGGACGCCACTGCAGGGTCCCCGAACTGATACACTAATTAATGAAGTAAGAACATTTAATTGGCATTGATATTGGCCATTAGAAGACTGCACAACGTACGCTATTGTTATGGTAATGGCGATATATTTAAGGTTGTTGCAACAAAGGACCATAATTATTATATACTATCTATATTATGATATTTTAACGATATACAGTAGAAATCACGAGCCCCGAGTTTGTAGACGACTCTGCAGAAATGCACAATGAACTAGCAAACATGGTTGTAAGTCGATGCGGTGGCAGAAAGGGTGGTCAATGGTCATCCAATATGGTTCGGGGTTTCGGGTTTATTGAAAACTTATAATGAGCGGTCCCTAGCTATACCATTACGGATATCCATCCGGGTGACCGGCGGCGATGGTGACTACGACGACCGGACCGAACATCGACGATGGTTTTTAGGAATCATCCTTCTTAATATGATTATTATAATCATTATTATGCTTTATGCATATAATATACAATAACTAACAACGGTAGAGACCATATTGGCAATATACAAATATATATTATAGACGCGATCATACTCGAGGGATTTAAATACAATATAATATTATATAGTGATCGTAAAATGAATATGTAAATAAATAAGACTAAAGATATCGCCGCCACGCAACCGCCGTCTGACAATGTGAATTTATTACGATAATTTCGCAAACCATTATAATATATATATGTGTTATTATGTGGGAAAAAAACTCGACCAGATATCAGCAACTACATTGAACCTCTATTGAAAAACAATCGATTGTATTGGTTTTTTTCTGTAAAAGTTGCCAAATATAATATTATAATATATTGTACATTTTTATTTTATTTATGTTCTAAAACTTGGCCAACGAGAATGTATAATATAAGAACGCCGTTTATCGATTAACAAAGTTTTATGCGCCGTCCGTTATAAACGAGATTACTAAGGAAGGAAAAAAATACGATATTCATTTTTATGCATAATACGCATTACTTTTTGCGTTTTATATTAATAATAATACAGGTGCAGCAAGTAACCGCACTTTATATAAAAAATGTATATTTCGAAATTATCACAACAAGTAACAACCGAATAATATAAACGTCAGCTGCAGCACGACGGTATTTGTTTAATTAAGAAAAATAAAGAAACGTATTCTGTGCAGATTATATGTGAATAAAAATAAAATTAATTACCTTGGAATTAATTTACTGTGATAATGATATTATGCTACTGTAAAGTGAAGCCGAACGCGATTACGTGAGTATAAATCAACGACGCAAAAAAAAAAATTAAGATCTTTAAGCTTAAAAATACTCGTATACAAATGTATAATTGTCGTATAAAATGCCAACGAAATCACTAATAATGTAAATTAACTCCAAATAGTTCTAAAAAAAAACAATGTTGCAATCCAAGGCATACATGCCTGGAGACTATTACACAACATTTAACCAAAAAACCATGTAACCAAATGTAATCAAAACTTAATAATTCGTGTTGATTATTCAGGTGGCTCAGCTCTGCCCTCCCCCCCCCCATATTACACCTTTCATGTCAAACTTAGTATTAGGTGAGATTTACTTATTGTACACGCAGACATAGGATATAGATTTTAACTACATTTTTAAACGAAAAAAAAAATAAATATAAAATAAAAGACAATCGCGCATTACTTATTTAACAAATAATAATATTTAATATAGACGATTATAGGTAGCAGTATAGGTATAAAATGTATTAAGTATAATAAAATCTTTTATTGTATATTGAATTCAAAGAAAACTAAGAAAATAAAGATGAAAAGCAAAAAAAAATCTTAATTTTACATTTTCATAGACACTGTATTTATACCGCTATTTAGTACGAGTACCTACCTTACCCATATGCTTATATTTTAAGCCTTCAGCAAACAAAAATACAAGTAGGTATATAATAGAGATGTAATAATTTCGAAATTCAAATTTATTAATTTAAGCATGTGGCTGACAGGAAATACACATTTATTATACTATAGTATGAAAATAAACGTATAGGTAGCTGGAAAATTGCGGTATTAATTCGGAAAACAAAACTGTAGTGGAATTAAAACTTTAGACCGGGTTTCTTAATTAACGAGGCCTATTATTGTATGCATTTGCACTTGGTTTTGCATAATACGCGGTTGATTGCCGGGTCGACACGAACCGTATTATATATAATATAAAATACAGAACCGCATGCGCGATGCAACGACCGCTGCACCCGCTGAAGTAGACTTATATATAGATGCACCGGTATAGTGGTCCAAATGCAGTCGTATGACGTACATATTATTATAATATGACTTTGCAATTTGAAGGATTCGACCCGTCTCGGAGTCCTATACAAACATAGACTCTATACACAGACGCACGGACCCTACATCGAATAAATTTATTATATAATTATACCTGTATGATATTAGTATAATATAATATAATATGTGTGTCGTGTGTGTGTGTGAGCATAATATAATATTATTAATTACGCGTTCACCATGGTACATCTCTGGAAGTGAAGGGAAGGGGCGAGGGGAGTGAAAGTTGTGGTGGTCAAAGGTATAGAGCTATACGTCTACCTACACAATATGGTATATAAGCGGCATTCTAACCGCGGTAGCGACGGGCGGCGTGAGTCAGAATATCGTATGACACACGCACGCACTAACTGCATTATGAACGCGTTGTAAATTCAATACTCTGATTAATAACGGGCAATTATCGTGGCGGCGGCTGTATTACAATTTACAACATATAATATGTTATTATATTATATTATACAGTGGTATGATACACGTGCGTTTATTATATTATCCTCGAACCTAACCTCGATCTGATTGGTGAGGTTTTTATTTTTTCAATAAAAGAAACGCGTAGGTACCTACAAGCATCACAATACACAATCATGCGCGCGCGTATAATAGAACTCTTTTTCAAGCACACATGTATATAGGTATGATGTCGTTCTCGCCTGTGTACTACACACGCAGCCGTATACAATATGATAATAATAACAAATAATAGCTGCAGCTCTGTATCATTGTTCTATCGGCATCGCAATGAT